ATGAGACAAAGTATATGTGAACTGCTGTATGAAAAGTGAATTTACTCTGTAAATCTTCACCCAAATCCTAATTAAAAAAAAAAAAAAAAAATGAATCACATCTAGTTCTCTCAATAAGATTGTTCAATCTCTCTAATTTATCCAATTTAAATGAAAATCTTAAACAATACTCCTTATTGTCTGGTAGTTTCAATTCTTCCTAGTATTATATACAAAAATACGGTGTACCATAGCCAATTTAGAAAGTTGAAAGGGCTTATTTTACATAGAACTTATGTTTTGTGTGTTTTTCTTTTAAATAAGGAAGTTACAAATACCTCAAGCTTTATCTACCTCAAAACATCTCCCAGCAATTACTCTATCACACAAAGTATTTTGGGAAATGCTGTGTTTTGGAGGGTCTGGATATGATTTATTAAGTGCATTTTTAAGTCCAGACAGTTTATAATAAATTTTAACAATCCAGGGCAGGTCACACATTTAATTCTGAAGAATTTACCAAACAAAAATTGTATTTGTAACATTATATTGCTTAATCCTGACTTCCTAAATGATCAGTATTATAAAATATGTATTAGCAGTTCAAAGGCTTTGTTGTTGTTGTTGTTTGCCGTCGAGTCGACCCCGACTCATAGCGACCCCTCCTTGGGTTTCCGAGGCAGTATCACTACGAAAGTAGGATTGCCCAACCTTCCTTCCGAGGAGTGGCTGGTGGGTTTGAACCGCCAGCCTTCTGGTGAGCGGTTAAGTGCTTTAGGCACTATGAAATTCAGTATCTTCTCTACAACAGATTTTAGGGCAGGCAGATTTGGTTTACATGATGTTCTTTGGCAAGTTCAACGGTGGTTCTCTGCATCTGAAGATGGCTGAAGCTAGATTCTGTAGGCTCTCCATGATTAACAGGTCCTCTTCTGATTTGCTTCAAGACTGAAGCGGCCACTTGCACAGATTAAATGAAATTCATGGTTTCCAAAAATAAATTCAGTTATTTAAATTTCTAAAAAAAACCTCCACATTTCCAGGAAAACAGTAACAAATTGCTGCTGTCAAGCTGAGTACAACTGATGGCGATGCTAGGAGTGTCACAGACAGCTGTGTTCCATTAGGTTTTTTCAATAGCTGGTTTTGGAAGTAGATCACCAGACCTGCCTTTCTTTTTTATTTCTCTTAATAAAGGGTTCCATGATACTGGTTGCATTCCCCAAGAAATGATGTTAATGGAATCAAATGCAAACCCTTCAAAGCTTTCTGTGATTTCTCAATTTTTGTTTTTCACAATGTCCTTTCCCCAGCTGAAGTAATCTTCTCATATTTATCATCTAATTTAAAATCACAGTCAAAATTTACTTCCCTCCAGAAGTCATCCATAGCTAAATCCAGTCAGACTCAATTCTGACTCATTAGCAACCCTACAGGACAGAGTAGAACCATAGGGTTTCCAAGGCTACAAATCTTTACAGAAGCAGACTATTTTTTTCGCATGGAGTAAATGGTGAGTTCAAACCAAGGAATTTTTAATTAGCCAAACACTTTAACCACTGCACCATCAGAGCTCTTTTATTTCAAGTAGAGATACTTCTACTAATTTCCAATAACTTCAGTATGTAACCCCCCAAAAATATTATGAGCAAATAAGGTATTCTATATAACCCAATTCTAAAGTCACCTGAGTATTACACTTTAATACCTAAACTCTTAACCTTTTCTAAATATAAATCCAAAATACTACATACATGCCTTTCTATAACAGAACATACAAAACTTAACTTTCTGAATTTTTATATCTATTCTAGCTTTTCTGTCTTGTTCTTCACTATTATACTGTATATTCTTAGTCTTAGGAGTGTTAGGTTTGGGTAACCACTTCATTCTCTCTACTTTGCCAATCATAAATGGACTGAGAAAGCTGATAACCCAGTTCATTAAAACTGTACAAAAATCCATTTATTCAGATGCAGAATAAAGACTTGAAGTATCTTTTGAATGTAAAGAAGCAAGTTTTGGAACACAAGTGTGACAGTATCTATTTCTGTTTAGTCTTTTTTGCTTACTTCTGCCTCTCTACTGACATGTAAAATCAAAGGACAATAAGCAGGATTAACATACTTTTCTTTTAATGTTTTGTCTTGTGGATTTATTAGGAAGGGTTGAGAAATGTTACAAAACTAGCTTAAATACATTGAAAAATGCTGTAAAATGCTACGTATTTTATCCCACTACTCTTCTGGAATAAATATATTTATTCCAGAAGAAATTCCATAATTACACAGTATCAAATACTAACCATCTGATTACAAGTGCCTATAAAAGAGTATAATTTAAGTCTTTTCTATTAAAACATAATAAATAGTATCTTTCTAGTACCAAATTTCAGTTAAGTTTCTATTTGTAGTAAACTAGTAAGATATACTCATTTGATATACATTTCACTAAAGAAGAAATACAAATGACGAATAAGCACATGAAAAAATGATCAACATAATTAACCATCAGATGCAAAACAAAACCACAATGACATATCACTTCACACCCACTGTGGTAGTTCCGTTTGCGTGTCAACTTGGCTGGGCCTGGTTGAGTACCTGGGCAGCTGGATGTATTATTTCCCATGATGAGACTGGTCATCAACTCTATGGTGGAATCTACTGGAAGCAGCTGAGTAGCTGCCTTAGGGAATGTGGCCTCCTTCCTGTATATAAGCAGAAGCCTTGGGGAATAGTCTCCAGCTTATTACATGCCTGGACCCTGCATATAGCCGTGTCATTGTTCTGCCTACCATGCTCTACCAACCTGAGGACTTATAATGGACTTGAATTAATGGCCTGCCGTGTGTTTTGGTAACATTGGGACTGTGCCTTTTTACTAGTCAGCCTTGGGCTTAGCAGCCTCAGCAGCCAGCAGCTGTCTGAGTGAAGAAAAGCCTCTAGCTCCAGTGGGTCGAAGCTGGAGGCAGAGCTGAAGCCCATGGCTGAGGGGCTTTTACCTAGCCTACCACTTTGAACTTGGACTTAAAGCCTCCAAATTGTAAGAGGATAAACTCCTGTTTGCTAAAAAGCCATCACATTTGCGGTATATTCTTGTCAGAGTGGCACTAGGTAACCAGAACACACACTAACATAACTGTGATTAAAAGATGAAAACACAGCAAGTGCTGGAGAGGATGAGAAGAAATTGGAATTTTCAACCTTGTTGATGGGATTGTGAAATGGTACAACCACTGTGGAAAACAGCTTGGCAGTTCCTCAAAAAGTTAACCATAGAATTACTGTAAGACCCAGAAATTCTACTTCTAGGTATACACCCAAAAGAACTGAAAGCAAGAACACAAAAACATACTTGTACACCAATGTACGGGGCAGCACTACTTACAACAGCCAAAAGGTAGAAACAACGTAAATGTTCATTCACCAGTGAAAGAATAAACAAAATGTGGTACGTACATACAATGGAATATTACTGAGCCATAAAGAGAAATGAAACCCTGATACATGTTACAACAGGCATGAATCTTGAAAACATTATGCTGAGTGGAATAAGTCAGCCACAAAAGGACAAATACCGTATGATCCCATTTAAATAATATGTAAGACAGGTAACTGTATAGAAACAAAAGTTTATTAGTGGTTATCAGGGGTGGGAATGAAGGAGGGGAAAAGGGGGATACACTACATAGAAGACACTTAGCTTCCATTAAGGGTGATAAAAAAATCTGTAAACAGACCATGTAATAGCTGAACAATCTGATAAATATAACTAATGTACACTGATTTGTACACATAAAGAATAATTATGGTAAATATGCATTTATTGTAATTTTTAAAAAATGTAAAATATATATATATATATATATATATATGCATTCCTCTAGAGTAATATGTAAAGTGACAACTTACCAGTGGAAGTAGAACTCATAGTTTCAACAGCTTTTGAAGCATCTGTATCTTTTCTATTTAGAAGAAAAAAAATGAGCACCGACTTAGAAATTCTACATTCTATGCATTTATAAAAATGTAATGCTTAATCTAAAAAAGATTAACCCAAATCATTTGAAAAAACGCCCCATTTAAACTATTAAGTGATAAAGCATTCAAAATAGCTTAAATACTAAAGTTTCCTATTTCATATGTATTTTTATTCCTACATACAAAATCTGGAATCACTTACTTTACAGTAGATGCAGATGTTTTCTTTGAATCAGAAGTCTTTTTCTTCAACTCTTTATTCTATGAAGGAATAATATTTTGAATAAAAAAACTTAGTTTTATTTTCTCCAATTATAAAAAGCAATTAGAAAATACAGAGAAGAATACGGAAGCCAACAAAAATATCTAAAATCTCTGACCATAAAAGTATAAATAAATGCCTATCATCTTCTATTTATACAGAAATAGAGTATTTTCTTCAATTTTTAGCTATTTTACATCTTGCCATTTACCACTCGTCCATATTTTATCATTAAATACCTTTGAAGAGTATCATTTCTAACATGCCTATGTCTATCATTTCAGATGTATAATGCTAACACCTTGGCCCAATCTACTACCATTGTTTGCTTTGATTATTTTAACAGCCTCCTCATGGTCCTCTTTTGCTTCTGTCCTTGCTACTTCACCTATGCCCAATGTATTCTCAGCAGAAAACCAGATTAATCTTGCCACTCCTAGACTCAAAACCTTCTATCACTCTCAGGAAAAACATCAATGCTTAAACTGGCCTCTAAGAGTTTAAAACACATGCTCCACCCACTCTCTACCCCTCAACCACTATGCCTTTCTTCCTATAGTCTTCTATCTAAATCTTAAGGATCTTTTGTATCTCAGTTTTGCAGCTGCTTTTCCTTCTGTCTGGACAGCTCTTGACCCATAGCATGGCTTACTCCCTCCAACAGTTCATGTCTCAAACACTACCATGTCGATAAGACCTTCTCCAGCTACCTTACTGAGAGCTGCAGTTTCTTTTCTCCAGTAAGAGTACTTCTATTGCCCTTCCTTCATGTCTTTTCCTGTAACACCTGCTGCCAACAAACGTGTGTGTGTGTGTATGTACACACACAGACACAGATACATTTATTTGTGATTTTTTTCTCTTCTAGCCCTTGAAATTAAACTCTGTGACAACAAAGACTTTTGGTTTTATTCAGTTCTCTATTCCCAGGGTATAAAGTAGTGTTCAGCAAGTTGTTGTTGTTACGTGCCATCAAGTTGGTCCCGACTCACAGCGACCCCTCCTTGGGTTTTCGAGGCAGTATCACTACGGAAGTAGATTGCCCCATCTTCCTTCCAAGAAGTGGCTGGTGGGTTTGAACCGCCAGCCTTCTGGTTAGCAGTCAAGTGCCTTAGCACTATGCTACCAGAGCTCCACAGTAAGTAGTAGACACTAAATAAAGTTAAACCAATCTGACTTTCATCACTAAGTGTTCTCATCTTATTTTACATTCTCTGTCCTTTTAGAGTATCCATCCCTTTTTACTGGGGGCAGGAGGCAATTTATGGGATTTTACTTAAACCACCTACACTACCTAATGATTTAAAGGATATCCACCCTCTTATTTTTACTCTACTAGTGATTACCTTAAATTGTAAAAGAAATTTGTAATTGTTAATTTCCTCTGTGTAAGTTGAAAATTCAGGCCTATTCCTTCACTACATTTCAGTTTTTGGCAGTGTATTTTAAACCAAAATTATTATTAAAATTTTAAGTAATATATTCTGCAATTAACTTATTTTATAGAACAATGATTTAGATTTTATGTATAAGTGGTTTCACTCTCATTGCTACTCAATTTATAATTTCTCCATTTCCTCGAATTTTTCATTTTGGTAAGTGTAATATTTTGGAAGGCTATGTAAGTGAAAAAAAAAAAAGCAAAAAGTATGAGAAGAAAACACCAAAAATTGGGGTACAATATTAAAAACTTCCTACATGTCTGTTACCACAAAATATATTAAATGACAAGCAAAAGACTAAAGGAATATACTTCTCACATATTGTTGCTGTTAGTGGCCATGTTGTTGTCAGGTGCTGTCAAGTCAACTCTGACTCCCAGCAACCTATGTACAGCAGAATGAAAACACTGCCTGGTCCTGTGCCAGCTCCATGATCCCTGCTATAACTGAACCCATTGGTGCAGCCACTGTGTCAATCCTTTTTCATTGACCCTCTCCTTTACCAAGCATGATACTCTTCTCCAGGGAATGGCCCATTCTTACAACATGACCAAGGTTAAGGGAGACCAAGTCTGGCCGTTCTCACTTCCAAGGAGCATTCCGGCTGCACTTCTTCTAGGACAGATTTGTTAGTTCTTTTAGCAGTCCATGGTACTTTCAGCATTCTTCGCCCACACCACAACTCAAAAGCATTGGCTTTTCTTCAGTCATTCCTACTCATTGTCCAGCTCTCACATGCTTATGAGGTGACTGAAAATATCATGGCTTGTGTCAGATGCACCTTAGTCTTCAAGGAGGTATCTGAGCTTTTCAGCACTTAAAAGAGGTCTTTTTGCAGCAGATTTGCCAAATGCTCTATGTCTGATATCCTGACTGCTGCTTCAGTTGGCGCTGACTGTCGAACCAAGTAATATGAAGTACTTGACAACTTCAATCTTTTGTCCACTTATTGTGATGCTGCTTATTGGTCCAGCTATAAGGGTTTTTGTTTATACTGAAGTGTAATCCATACTGCAGACTGTAGTCTTCAATCTTCATCAGTAAGTGCCTGAAGTCACCCTCATTTTCAGCAAAGTTCTGCCGTCAGCATATCACAGGTTGTTAATGAAGTCTTCCTTCAATACTGACACCACAATCTCCTTCATATAGTTCATCTTCTCAGATTATTTGCTCAGCATACAGACTGAATAAGTATGATGAAATGATACAACACTGATGCACTCCCTTCTTGATTTTACATGCAGTGTCCCCTTGTTCTGTTCAAACGACAGCCTCCTGGTCTATGTATAAGTGCCTCATGAGACAATGATATCCATAATTTGTTATCACCCACACAATAAAATGCCTTTGCATAGTCAATAAAACACAAGTAAACATCCTTCTGGTATTCTTTGCTTTGAGTCAAGACTCATGTGACAACAGCAATGATATCCCTCATTCTCCATCCTCTTCTGAATCTACCTTGTATTTCGGGAAATTCTCTGTTAATATACTACTGCAACCATTTTTTGAATAATCTTCAGTAACATTTGCGTGACAGTAATGATATTGTTCGGTTATTTCCACATTCTGTGGGATCACCTTTCTTTGGAATGGGTACAACTACAGATCTCTTCCAGTCAGTTGGTGAAGTATCCGTCTTCCAAATATCTTGGCATAGCCGAGTGAGTGCCTCCAGTGCAGCATCCGTTTGTTGAAACATCTCAATGGGTATTCTGTCAACTCCTGGAGCCTGTTCTTCGCTACTTCCTTCAGTGCAGCCTCAACATCTTTTCCTGCTTCAGTACCACTGGTTCTGAGCATATGCCACCTCCTGAAATGCATGAACATCGACCAGTTCTTTTTGGTAGAGTGACTCTGTGTATTCCTTCCATCTTCTTTTAATGTTTCCTGCATCATTCAATATTTTGTCCATAGAATCTTACAATATTGCAACTCGAGGCTTAAATTGTTTTTCAGTGCTTTTAGCTTGGGAAATGCTGAGCATGTTCTTCCCTTTCGGTTTTCTAACTCCAGGTCTTTGCACGTATCATTATAATTGACTTTGTCTTCTTGTCTGTTCCTTGAAATCTTCTGTTTAGCTCTTTTATCTGGTCACTTCTTTCATTTGCTTTATCTACTCTCTGCTCAAGGGCAAGTTTCAGTCTTTTCTGATACCCATTTTGGTCTTTTCTTCCTTACTGTCTTTTTAATGACCTCTTCCTTTCTTTACGGATGATGTTCTTTATGTCATCCCACAGTTCCTGTGGTTTTCAGTCACTGGTGTTCAATGCATCAAATCTACTCTTGAGATGGTTTCTAAATTCAGGAGGGATATATTCAAGGTCATATTTTGGCTCTCATGGACTTGTTCTGTCTTCAATTTCAAGTTGAACTTGCATATGAGCAGTTGATGGTCTGTTCTACAATCAACTCCTGGCCTGGTTTTGGCTGAAGACATTGAGCTTTTCCATCTCCTCTTGCCACAGATGTAGTCATGATTCCCGTGTCCTGCATCTGGCAAAGTCCACATGTATACCACCGTTTGTGTTGTTGAAAAAAGGTATTTGTAATGAGTAAGTCGTTGATCTTGCAAAATTCTATCATGCAATCTCCAGCGTTATTTCTACTACCAAGGCCAAATTTTCCAACTACCAGTGATTCTTCTTTGTTTTCAACTTTTGCATTCCAATCACCAGTGATAATCAGCACATCTTGACTGTATGTTTGGTCAATTTCAGACTGCAGAAATTTGTAAAAATCTTCAATTTCCTCATCTTCGGCTTTGGTGGTTGGTGCGTAAATTTGAATAATATTCAAATACTAAACTGGTCATCCTTGTAGATGTATGGATATTATCCTATCACTGACAGCACTGTACTTCAAGACAGATCTTGAAACATTCTCTGTGATGATGAAAGCTATGCCATTCCTCTTCAAATTGTCAATCCCAGCATAGTAGATCACATGATTGTCTGATTAAAACTGGCTCAAACCAGTCCGTTTCAGCTCACTAATGCCTAGGATATCAATCTTTATGCATTCCATTTCATTTTCAACAACTTCCAATTTTCCTAGATTCATATTTTGTACATTCCATGTTCTGATTATTAATGGATTTAGCAGTTTCTTCTCCTTTTGAGTTATGCCACGTCAGGAAATGGAGGTCCCAAAAGCTCTGCTCTATCATTAAGATTGGATCTATTATGATGAGGCATGGAGTCTATTTTAACTCAGTGACCCCATCTGTACAGAGTAGGACTGCTCCACATGGTTTTCAAGGAGTCCTGTGTGGCACAAATGATTTAGCACTAGACTAGTGCCTAACGCATATGACTGCTAAGCAGAAGGCTGGCAGTTCAAACCCACCAGCTACTCCTCAGAAGGAAGATTGGGCAGTCTACTTCCATAGTGATACTGCCTTGGAAACCCAAGGAGGGGTCGCTATGAGTCAGATCTGACTCAATGGCACTGAGTTTGTTTTTGATACTAGCTGAAAGACTGGCAGTTTGAACCTACCCAGAGATGTTTCTGAAAGGTCACTTCTCATACACAACACAAAATTAGTATCTAAAATAACACCTAAAAATGTATTTTTCATAAAGAACAAATAATCCAATAGAAAAACGGGACATGACATAGATACCTCATTTAAACCACAGAAACGACTATATAAAGATTTATATAAAGATTCTGGAGTTCACCAAAGTCAAGAAAACACAAATTAAAACTACATATACTGTTTTTTATATACTAGATTTTTAAGACTAAAATTATTAAAATGTTGATGATAATGTATTTTCATAAATTGCCAGAGTATAAATTACTATTGCTACCTGGGAATCTGGTAATATCTATAGATAAGCTAAATGTCAATCAATAAGGAACTGGTAAAATAAACTGTAGTATATTCATACAAATACCACACAAAGTTAAAAAGAATGAGGAAAACCTTTATGTACTAACATGGTTAGACCTCCAAATCAAATTACTTACTAAAAAATGAAAATTTAAAAACATGCAAATAAAAATACAAATAAAGAATACACATCTGTAAAGCAACAATTATTGGAGCTTATCAATTTTAATCAATGGGCTCAAACATATCAAACAGCATGAAGATGGCAAAAGACTAGGCAATGTTTCATTTTGTTATGCATAAGGTCACCATGACTCAGAGGCAATTCAACTGCAACTAACAATCATATCAAAAAATCAATCTCATACATGTCATGCACATATAAGCTAATATGTACAAAGTTATCTAGAAAGACTAAAGTCATAAACATAATACCGCTAAGGAAGCAAAGGCCTAAGAGAATACATACTATTTATATTATGTGATTAGATAACAACTATGGTATTAGAAATCCAAGGAGAGGCTATGTACTGGGAGAATGAAGGGCATAAAGATTAGGAATAAGCATATAAGAGGCTTCAGGATGCTATCAATTTTCTATTTTGTTATCCAGGTAGCAGTTACACAGATGTTTACTAATTTTTACGATATGTGACAAATAAGGAGGCCTGATGGTGCAGTGGTTAAGCATGAGCTATTAACTGAAAGGTCGGCAGTTCAAACCCACCAGGGACTTCGTGGGAGAAACATGAGGCAGTATGCTTCCATAGATTTATAGCTTGGAAACCCCATGGCGTAGATCTACTCTGTCCTATAGGGTTACTTTGAGCTGGAATTAACAATAGCAACAGCTATATAAGTATTTTTTCCAAGTCTGCTGCTTGCCATTTAATGCCGTGTGTGTTTTAATTTCTGTGTATTTGCATTTATACATATGATTTGTTGAGCTATACACATTTATGCTTTGTCCACTTTACTAAGGTATACTCATCAACAAAAGTTAAACTAATCATCAATAACAATAAATTACCTATAATCTTAATCCAGTTTACCTGTGATTTCTTCTTTGCTGGAACACTTATTTTCACACGTTTTCCTTTTATCACAAGAGGTGTTTTTTCTATGTGCTTGAAAATTGCAGTAACTGAATCTTTAAATTCCATTTCCAAGTAAGCCTAAAATAAGTAACAAATTTATTCACTTTTCACTTCAAAATTTACCTTTCAAATCCTTTGCATTTTAAAAAAACAAAAACATTCTATATGTATTTAAATGGACTTAACACTTCATTGTGGAATGCTGACTATGTACCTCAAGCCCTTTCTTTTTGTTGTGTTAGGAACTCTGGTGGTGCACTGCCTAAGGCATCTGACTGCTAACCAGAAAGTTGGTGGTTCAAACTCACCAGCCACTCCACAAAAGGACGACTGGGCAATCTACTTCCATAAAGATCTATCACCTCGGAAACCCAAAAGTGGTCAGCCATGAATGAGAATTGATTCGATGGCACTGAGTTTGTTTTTTTGTTTGTTTGGTTTTGTTAAAATGAAATTTGATGTTTAAGATATAATCACACATGAAATGGACCTTTAATCTTGCGTATGTTTAGATTTTCTCTATTATTACCTATGTAAGAGGGACACAGAGTTCCAGGGCAAACTCATGGAGGAAGAGGAAAGGGAAGGCAGCACTAAGGAAACAACAAAAAGGCAGGACCCTAGCCTACCTTGCTTAAAGTCCAAAATTTTTTAGACTTCTTACAACAACGAAGAAATTATCACTATGTTCTCTTATCTCATAAATTCGTGCTTTGCTTAGTGTAGGCAGGATCCTAGCCTACCTTGCTTAAAGTCCAAAATTTTTTAGACTTCTTAGAACAAAGAAGAAAACTTCCACTATGTTCTCTTATCTCATAAATTCATGCTCATGGACTTATGACATAAGTTACAGGAATACAACCCACAAGCAAATAAATACTTACTGTACAAATGAAATAACTTGTAATCATATAAGCTAACTGATTTTCTAAATAGGGGTTGGCAAACTGTTTTGTCACCTGTTTTTGTAAATAAAGTTTCAGGGGGACAAATCTACACATGTTCCTCTCTATGTATCATCTTCAGTAACTTTCACACTACAATGGTACAGTTGAGTAGTTGCTACTATCTGGTCCTTTACAGAAAAAGTGCCCAAACCTTTGTTTTAAAGAGTATAAAATAGTATCATAAAATTTTTTTCATTTGAATCCAAACATTTACATTAATTCTCAATAAACAATTATATGTGCTAAATCAGCTGCGAGATCCAACAGTTACGTTTAAAAATCACTAAAATAATGAGTTTACTGCAATTTAAGAATAGGTTGCTTGACTTACCTCCCTTCTATATGGAACAATCAGTACGTCATTAACTTTTCCTAATGGTTGAAATACTTTTCTAATATCTTCTTCAGTACAGCCATCCTCTGGTAACTCAGATACAACAACAACTAAAGACTGGTCTTTCCGCACCTATATTTGGGATAGAAGAAAAAAATTTAAAATAATAACAATTCCCAACAATATCTGTACCACTAATTACAGTCTTTTAAAAGATCTTTTCTAAATATTTTAGCACAATTAAAAAAAAATCTAATTTTAAATAAGTGAAAAGAAATATACTTCGATGTTAACTATTCACATCCAACAGTGGTAAATAGTTCAAAGGTAACTAATCAAAGATGATCTTGTACACCCTATTTTATTAATAAGCATATTGTAATGATTAATTCTTATGCAATACTCTAAAGTCATTAAAAAGTATTTAATGAACCTGTGTAGCTTATCAGGTAATGAAGTCAAGATGACAGATTTATTTGCTCTGTATTTTAATAACTGAAATTGATATCCTAGATAGGTGTATCATTTTAACATTAACATATGTTGCTCTTAGATGCTGTTGAATTGGGCCCTAACATATGGCAACCCTACGTCTTATAGAGTAGAACTGCTCCATAGGGTTTTCTTTTCTGTAATCTTTACAGAAGTAGTTGGCAGGCCTTTCTTTCATAGCATTGCCAGGTAGTTTCAAATTGCCAACCTTTATATACCATCTACATTAAAACTGAATACAAACTTTTATAAAATCCTTATCCATTGCTGATGGAAATGGAAAATGGTACAACTGTGGTGGAAAACAGCATAGCAGTTCCTCAAAATACTACACAACTACCACATTATGCAGGAATTCCACTCCTAGGTATATACTCAAAAGATATGAAAGTAGAGACTCAAGAACAGAATTGTATACCAGTACTCATTACAGCACTATTTACAATAGCCAAAAGGTGGAAACAATCTAAATTCCCATCAAGAGATGAACAGATAAACAGAATACGGTACACACAGAAATGAAATCTTGATACATGCTACAATATGAGCAAAGCTTGAAGATATTATGCTGAGTAAAACAGAACAATCACAAAAGGACAAGTATTGCGTAATCTCACTAAAGAAACCAAATCCACTACTATGCAGTCAATTCCAACTCATAGCGACCCCCGCTGGGTTTCCAAGACTAAATCTTTATGGAAGCAGATTGCCTCATCTTCCTCCTGTGGAACAGCTGGTGGGTTTGAACTGACAACCCTCTGGTTAACAGCCAAATGCCTTACCGACTATGCCACCAGAGCTCCCTAACTTCACTTAAATAAGACGAGAAAAGGCAAATGTATAGAGACCAAAGTTTATTAGTGGTGACCAGGCATGGGAAAAAAAACCCCAAACTTACTGCCACTGAGTCGATTCCGACTCATAGCGACTCCCTTTGGGTTTCCAAGGCTGTCATCTTTATGGAGGTACACTGCCCAGTCTTCTTTCCACAGAGTGGCTGGTGGGTTTGAACTGCCAACCTTCTAGTTAGCAGTCAAATGCCTTAGACACCACGCCACCAGAGCACCTTACCAGGCAGGGGTGGAAGTGAGGGATAACAAGGGAGGTTAGTGGTGATGGAAAAACTGCTTTGTTAATGGTACAGGTAAAAAGCCAATTACTGTAACTCCTGTCAATAAGTTGTGCACCTGAAGAAGGTTGTTGGCAAAAGCTATGTAACAGATGTTTTTACAACAGCAATAAAAAAGAATAGCTGCTGGGGCTGCTTACGTATAACTAAACACCTCATGGGACTTGGTTCCTTGGTTTGGAGGTTGAGGGTCATGTTCTCATGGGGTATCCCAGTTAACTGGCCTAATAACATGTTTAGTCCTTCTGTTCTATCTCCTAGTTCGCTATGTAGTACCTGGAGACTTCAAAGCTTGTAAGTGACCATCCAAGGCACAATTGGTATCTATTCTCCTGGAGCAACAGAGGAAAAAGGAAGATTCAGGAACTGGAGGAAGATATAGAATATGTGGCTAATTGCCTGATTGGCCGTGAGACCAGAAGAACTGGATGGTAGCTGGCTACCAATATTGAATAATTTGATCAAAGATTTCACAGAACCATTCAGACCAAAGGGTGGAAAATCCAGAATAGAATTTCAAATTCTTACTGACTTTTAGACTTTCTGGAACCTTGGAAGATAGATCAACCCTTGAAACTATTATCCTGAGATAATCTTGAAAATTTAAAACAAAAATATCCCCTAAAGTTTTCTTAAAACCAACCAGCAGTTTACCTTAACTAGTAAAAAAAAAAAAAAGGTCGGTCTTGATCATTATGTTCTTTTAAGAACTATCTATATGGGATCAAAGTGACAACATCAACTCCCAAGATTAGATGGGAAACTTAGCAGGCAGTGAGTTCATGTTATGGAGGTGGGGATATCTCAAAAAGGAAGGGTAAGAATGGTTATACAACTTGAAGAATATAATCAGTGACACCAAAAGGTATGTGTAGAAACTGTTGAAATGCTGTATGATTTGCTATGTATGTTCTCAACAACAAAATAAAATCTGGAACAAAAACTTTAAAAAGTTCTACGGAAACTGTGCAAAAGTTTGGAAAGAAAATGAAACCATCTTTAGATAGTATCTTATCAGACAAATTCATTATCTTCAAATTCTTCCCCACAGTCAACATTTCTTCCAAATTCTCTTTAAAATTTTGTAATTACAGGTTGATTAGTTTACCTTAAATATAAGCTCTTCGGGGAAATAAACTAGCTGTTCAAAGTCTCCAATGTATGTAGACAATACAGAAAACATGTACCTAAATACTTTAACACTTTTTAATATTACAAATATACTAAACTTCTGGTAATTTAGCCTGTTAAGGAGTTATTTTAACCATATTCTCAAAATGTTTGAATATATTATATAACTACTATCGTTAGGTGTCATCAAGCTGGTGCTGACTCATAGTGACCCTATGTACAACAAAACTACATACTACCTGGTCCTGCACTATCCTCCCAATTGTTTCTATGTTTGACCCCACAGCTGCAACCATTGTGTCAATCCATCTCATAAAGTGTCTTTCTCTTTTTTCACTAACCCTCTACTGAAAAATGTTTACCAGTGTTTTACTGACTATGCAAAGGCATTTGACTGTGTGGATCATAATTACGCCAGCATCATGAAGAATGGGAATTCCAGAACACTCATTTGTTGCTCATGAGGAACCAATACAGAGACAAAGAGGCTGTCGTTCAAAAAGAACAAGGGGATAGTACATGGCTCAAAATCAGGAAAGGTTTGTGTTAGGGCTGGATTCTTTCACCATATTTATTCAATCTGTATGCTGAGCAAATAATCCGAGAAGTTGGACTATATGAAGAAGAACATCACTCAGGACTGGAGGAACACTGATTAATAAACTGTGATACGCAGATGACACAACCCTGCTTGCTGAGAGTGAAGAAGGCCTGAAGCAGTTACTAATGAAGATCAAAGACTACAGTCTTCAGTATAGATCACACTTCAACGGAAAGAAAACCAAAATCCTCACAAGTGCACCAAAAAGCAACATCACAATAAATGGAGAAAAGACTGACGCTATAAGACATTACACTTTACTTAGATCCACAATCAACACCCATGGAAGCAGCAGTCAAGAAATCTGATGTTGTATTGCACTGGGCAAATCGGCAAATCTGCTGCAAAAGATCTCTTTAAAGAGGCAAAGATGTTACTTTGAAGACTAAGGTGTGTCTGACCCAAGTTCCGGTATTTTCACCAGCCTCATATGAATGTAAAAGCTGGATAATGAATAAGGAAGACTGAAGAATTGATACATTTAAATCCTGGTAGTGAAGCATACTGAAAATAACATGGACTACCAGAAGAATGAATAAATTTGTCTTAGAGAAAGTACAGCTAGAATACTCCTTAGAAGTACTTCTCATACTCTGGACATGCTATAGGGAGGGCCCAGTTCCTGGAAAATGACATCATGCTTGGTAAAGTAGATGGTCAGTGAAAAAGAGGAAAATTCTCAATAGAAGGACTGACATAGTAGCTGCAACAATGGGATCATGCACAGCAATGATTGTGAGGATGGTGCAGGACCAGACAGTGTTGATGTACATGAGGTCACTGTGACTTGAAACCAATTCAATGGCACCTAAGAACTACTACTTTACCAAGCATGATGCCCTTCTCTAGGGACTGGTTCCTCCTAATAATATTTTCAAAGCACACAAGATGAAGTTTCGCCATCCTCTCTTCTAAGGATCATACTGTAGAAGCAGCTTGATTAACATACACAATAAAACCAATGCCCAAGCCATGGTATTTTCAATCATCTTATATGAATGCAAAAGCTGGACAATATTATTCAAAGACCTAAGAACTATGCCTTTGAATTATGAGGTTGGTGAAGAATACTGAACATACCATGGACTGTCAGAAAAACAAACAAATCTGTCACGTAAGAAGTACAGCCAGAATGTTCCTTAAAGCAAGGATGGTGTACTTTGGACACGTCAGAGGAGGGACCAGCTTCTGGAGAAGGACATTATGTACGGTCAAGTAGAAAGTCAGCAAAAAGGAGGAAGACCTTCAATGAGATGGACTGACACACTAGTTACAATGAGCTCAAACACAACGACGATTGTGAAGATGGTGCAGGATGGGGAACAGTTTCATTCTCTTGTATACAGGATCACTATGAGTTGGAACCAACCTGATGGCACCCCACAAGAATAACAATACAATAAAACAGTACTTCAATTTTGTAACCAGCAAGTTACAATAAAAATATACCAATACATATGTGCCTAGAAAACAGACTTGTACATAGAAAATACTTTTTAAAAAAAAAACAACAACAATATAATACCACAGAAAGTATAAAACAGCTTGGACTGATTCTTACTAGAGACTCACTTGCTGCCAGTGATTATATTCACTTCACTTATCAGAAAGCAAAACCTATCTTAATAACCTGCTTGTGTAGCAAGCCAAACACAATGAAACTGCTCTCATTTTTGATACATCAAATGCCAAATCACTGAGATTCCAGGGCTTCCTGATTTTGAATTACTAGACTTTTACTGTATTCGTAAGGGAAATATTTCCTATCAATGTAACTTAACAAGTCACCAAACTTACTAGAAAAATAGAAATTAAATCCAATCAATTTTGTTTCGTCATATTAACAAATGTATGCATATTTGCATTAACAAATTATAGAATTACTGACCTTACGCTGGAGAGAAACAGCTTTATCAGTCACATGTTTACATTCTGGTAAGCTACCATCTTCAGGATTTTTTGATTTATAACGAGTACTAGAATCACTCTTTGTAGAGCCTGAAGATTTAACTGATGGTTTTGATCCACTGCTAGTTTTAGGCTTTTGCGTTGGTGAGTGTCCTTTATCAACTGCTTCAAGATGCTTCTTTTTACTCATTTCTGATCCATGTCCAGATCGTACTGCATCATCTAATGGTTTTTCTCTATCTAGTAAGAATATAAACAAAACTTCAATGGAAAAGAAGTTAAGATAGGAACCATTTCATGACCTTATAAAATAAATAATTACAATCCCTCAAGATGCCCAAATGTTTATCACAAAGCATTACTCTCATGCCAAGCAGGGATCATATACACAGGAAAAATTATTAGTCTTTGTTTACTCGAAAGGCTATTTTACATGGAATTCTTATAATTCATAATCTTCTCTTTTATTTCAGTTTCAGGATCCCTTTACCCTCTTAAAAATTGAGGATTCAAAAAAGCTTTTTTTCTTGTGTTACATTTATCAATGCTTTGCATATTAAAAATTAAAAGAAGGAGGGAGTTCCAGTAAGATGGCATAATAGGCAGACAGGCTCCACAGACCCTCTTCAACAAAGAAAAGAGAGATCAACTGACAGAGAGACAGAAAATAATCCTGGAGCCCTGAGCTTTGAAAGGAAGTATACAGAAGTGGATTAGGCAACAACTAGTGAAAAAACCGGAATGAAAACAGTGAGTACAGAGACAGCCAGAGCAGTGGACTGTCAGCTACTCTCATAGGACCAACAGCCTGAATATTTCCAAGTGGTGTTAGGACCTAAGAACTGCCCTAAAAATCAGCCCTGGTCACCAAGGGCTGCAGGGATGACTGCACTGGTGGCCTATGACTAGGAAGGGAAACAGCCAAGGAGGGAGACAACCTGAGCTGTGGACATTCAGCTGCCAGAGGATGTAGCCATTTTGATCATTTACAAGTGGTGGCCATTTTGGATATATAAAGTGACCAAAGGGACAGAGATTTTAAATGTTTACAAGCAGCAGCAATTTTGGATATTTAAAGTGACAGAGGGTGCAGCCATTTTCAAAGTTTAAAAGCAGTGGTCATTTTGATTTTAAAGTGACAGCATTCTCATTCGGATTCTAGGGACCCAAGAATAGGCTCTATTTGCCAAGGAAAGCAGGGACGTATGGTTGGGGAATGTCTAAATGCTGACAACTAGCAAACAGTAGAGCACAGCACAGTACCCGGCTAACGTAGATAACATAAAAACAAAACAAAGAAAACGAAAATCCTGGGCAAGTCACTCCAATATACTATCACCAATTAAATATAAACACAAAAACGTCACAGTGCCTCAGAGACAACAGAGCATCATAGTCCACACAAAGAAGCAACATAAAGTAGGAGAAAAAAGGGACCAGGATACAGACCCAAAACACATCCCTGAGGAAGACGCAGCATTGGAACTCCCTGATAAGGAATTCAAAAGAATAATATTTAGTTAACTTCAACAAACTGAGAGACAGATCAAAGAAAACACTGGCAAAATTGAGGAAAACACAGAGAAAACCCTAGAACAATTTCGAAAGGCAATACAAGAACAAAATGACAAAATAAATTTGAAAGACAGTAGAAATTAAAAATGATACAAAATCTACACACAGAAATCCAGAAGATAAATACTAAATTTTCAGAGATAGATAACTCAATGAATGAGCAAAGCAGTAGAGTTCAATCAATGGAAGACAGAATTAGTGAGACTAAAGGCAAATACCTCAATACTTCTTTAGAAAGGGAACAATCAGAAAAAAGATCAAAACAAAATGAAGAAAGCGTAAGGTTCTTGTGGGATATCATCAAAAGGAATAACCTACATGTAATTAGAATTCCAGAACAGGAAGAGACAAATCACAGAAAAAATTGTCCAAGATTTGTTGGAAAAGAATTTTCCTGGTATAATTAAAGATAAGAATATATCCATTCAAGAAGTTCAATGAACCCCAAACAGGACAGACCCCAAAAGAAAATCACCAAGACATATCATCATCAAACTCACCAAAACCAAGATAAAGAATCCTAAAAGCAGCACAGGAAAAACAAAAAGCTACCTACAACAAGGGGCAACCAGTAAGAATAAGCTTGGATTTTTCAGCCATGCAGGCAAGAAGACAATGGGATGGTACTATAAAACCCTGAAAGAGAAAAATTTCCAACCAAGAATTATATACCAGCAAAATTATCCCTCAAATACAATGGTGAAATTAGGACATTTTCAGATAAGCTGAAATTAAGGGAATTTGTTAAAATCAGACCAACCTTATAAGAGATGCTAAGGAGAGTCCTTTGGACAGAGAACCAGCAACAGAAAACAACTGACTATTCACACAAATAATGACATAACCCAGAAACCAACCCAGTTATAGAAATATTCAAAGTAAGTAAGCCTACAAGATTGTGAACAGGGAACCAGAGACACAACTGACAAATGAAGACAACTACAAACCAAAAAGAGGGAAAAAACTGTGTAGTTACAGAACTTCTAAAATGGCAGGGAAGTCAAGACAACTACAAGATAGAATGGACTGTTCTAAACTTGGAAAGAAATAATAAATCACAGGGTAACCGCAAAGAAAAATCATAAACCTTCATAACAAAATAAAAAAGAGGACTAGTACAAATATTTAGCAACTATTAAAACAACAGCAACGAAGGAAGTGGTAACACAATTCATAAACAAAATGAGCTCACCACAGAAAATTATGTGGAACAAAGAAATCAGCAACACCACAGAAAAGCACACAACAAAATGACAGCAACAAATTCCTACTTGTCAATAATTACATATCTGAAAAGGGACTTATCTCCAAAATTCTGAGAAAACTCCAACACCTCAACAACATAAAGATTAATAATCCAATTAAAAAGTTGGATGGAAATGAATGGACACTTCACCAAAGAGGATATTCTGGCTGCCAGCAAATACATGAAGAAATGCTCATGAGTATTAGCCATCAGAGAGATGCAACTCAAAACAACGAGATACCATCTCACCCCCAGCACTAATGGCAAAGTTCAACAAGACAGAAAATGGCAGATGCTGGTGAGGATGTGGGGAGATTGGGACTCTCATACGCTGCTGGTGGGACTGTAAAATGATACAACCACTGGGGAAAACAGTATGGCCAATTCCTTAAAAAGCTGGAATTAGAAATACCATTTGACCCAGATCCAGCAATCCCATTACTAGGCATATATCCTAAAGAAGTGAGAGCCAGGACAAGAACAGATATACGCACATCTATGTTCATCGCAGCACTGTTTACAACAAAAAGATGAAAACAACTTACATGGACATCAACAGAAGAATGGATAACCAAACAGTGGTACATACACACAATGGAATGATATGCAACCTAAAGAATAGTGTAGAATCTGCAAAACACCACATAACATCGATGGAACTTGGAAGAGATTATGCTGAGTGACATTAAGTCTATCACAGAAGGGCAAATATAGTATTAATTTGTTGTTGTGGAGGGTCAAGGAAAGGTTTATATATGGAGGGAAACAGGTGGGAGGTGAGAGGAGGGAACACTGCAAAAGAAGAAAAAATTCACTGACCCATGTCACTTTAGTTTTGTGTGTTTCACTGCACATAAATTATATTTCAATAAAATGCATTAAAAAAATTAAAACGTAACTTTAAGAATATTTATTAATTTATGTAATAACCTCATATTAACATAAATATTCTATGGAAAGTAACTTAAAAAGAAAAGCCCCAAAATTACAAGAAGAATGGCACTGGTATACATTTTTACAAAAATGTTAATACCAGACTTAAAACACCTAGACTCTCATACTGCTTCTATTATCAATCTTTCTGGATATGTTGTTTTGGCTTAAGTATGTAAGGCACATTAGCCTCACACTGATATGCAGTTGGAAAAGCAAAGATCCTCATGGGACCCCTGAGAAGATCTCATGGACCTTCTAGGGGTTCTTGGACCATACTTCGAGAATCACCGCCTTATACACTTTAAAGTACATTTACACTCCATCTCTAAGGATGCACTGAATATAGTGAAACCTGTTCAAAGTACTTCCTAAACACTAACAAGGGTCTCCTTCATTGTACACGTGTATTTCAATGTATCTAAGAGCTATATATATATATATGTATATGTATGTGTGTGTGTGTATATAGAAAGTTCCCTAAGCCTGTATTAAGAGAGAAGCTGAAAATATCAGTAATTTCAACAAAAATTCACAATGAATTCATGGAAAATATCTCTCATCAATTAAGCTAAGCTAAGAAGTCTGTATATGTTTGATTTTTAAATCTGGTATTGGATGAATGGATATACTCTTCCATATTTCTTCCTACAGCTACTAGAGGGGAGAGGACTAAGTTGGGATGCAGGTCAGGTTTCATATAAACTCAAAAACAAACCCACTGCCATTGAGTCAATTCCAACTCATAGTGACCCTACTGGGTTTCCGAGGCAGTAAATCTTTATGGAAGTGGGATGCTCCATCTTTCTTCCACAGAGCAGCTGGTGGGTTTGACTCACCAACCTTCTCGTTAGCAACCAAAACCTTAGGCACTATGCCATCAGAGTGCCCAGGTTTCATGTAGCAATTCTAAAATTTAACAATATAGAACATTTAATAGCTTAAACCTTTTAAAGACCTAAAGCAAAAAACTCAAAATATAAACTTCTGTTAAATCTTGGCACTAGCACATAAGCTATCATTTCAAACGTATTAGAAATACAGAAGAAAATTCAAACAAGAAAAACTTAAAAAAAAAAAAAAAAAAAAACAGTCAAAAGAAGACTTATCATTTCATAGCCATCAATGTACCTGATGATCTCACTGATCTCCTTGATGTCCTTTCAGGGCGAACTGATCTATAGCACTCTGGGCTAAATGGAGTTCTAATTCGATATGGTGGATTAGGGGATCTGGATCTGTATCTAGAAACGAAACGATGGCAAATTCTTGGACTTCGACTTCTTGGTCTATATATGTAACGTATCGGGCTTCGAGATCGATGGAACCTGTGACTTGAACTTGATCTCCTAGAACGTCTAGGACTGGGGGAATGAGAACGTCTTCTTGGAGTTTGATTCTCTTTCCTACTGCCCTCATTTCTTCAAAGCAGAAAACAAACAAACAAACCAGGATTCAGCAATGTAAAATTAGATTAAATTATTATTAAATGTATAAATTATATTAAATGTCAGATGTATCGTCTTAGAAACAGATCATCAGCAGTATCAAACACTAACATCATGTATGTACATTTAAAAAAACAAAAACAAAAAGCCCTATTTTTTAAGTAGAAATTCAGTCTTGTGGGTAAATAATCAACAATTAGAACAGATGATTAGTCCTGCAACTGCTGCTTTGGATCTCTGTTTTGCTCATTTATAGAAGACCAACATCAACAATTTCTTGGGCTTTTATTGTAACAGTGTATCTAATTATGTTCTGAAAGTATTAATAATATAATTTAAGAAATCATTTTAATAAACAAGTATTTCTCACTATTTATCCTGAAAGTTTACAGTGTTTACAAATATTTCTTAACGGTTGTTTGTACAACTGAGTATGGTGCCCTAGGGGATCATATACACAAGCAAAAATTATTAGTCTTTGTTTACTCAAAAGATTTTACATGGGGTTCCTATAGTCAGTAAGCTTAATAAGGCCACTTGTGGCCTTCAAGGTATTTATAATCTCAGATCTCACAAATATAAAATATTAACAAAAGGCAGCATAAAATATTTTCAGGAAAGACTAGAGAAAGCAGAAGTTCAGCTACAGGAGCTATCATTTTTGAGCTAGCATGATTCATAATCTGCTCCATTTGTCTACAGTTTAAAAATAAAAATGGTGAACAGCAGGACTCAATTCAACACAGTATCTATTTTTTTTTTTAAGTACTTGTTTAATCTTAAAAGGAAATCAAGTTTTAATAATATTACTTTTAAAAAAATAATTACCTTCTTGATGGGAGGATCTCAGGATTCCAATCGGGATACCTATTATGAGAAAAAACAAAATCAAGGAACAGATGAAGTAAAGAGTTTTATTATTTTTCTCTACAGTATAAAAGAAGGAATGTATAAAATCCAAGTTTGCACAATAATTTTTCCTTTATTATTTACCGAATACCTGATTCAATAAATAATAAAAATATTGTACTTACTAGCAGACACATAAGGGAAAGTAGATATATTCTCTTCATACTTAAAAAGGCCTCAAAACTAACAAGTGATAAATGTAGATCAAAAGTATATGAATGTCTACTAGCCTTTCAGTAGTTTGAGACTTTGACTAGAAAATTATAAAAATAATATGCTGAAGGCAAAAAAGGAGCAAACATCAGGGAGCTAGACAGTTGTGCTACCTACTGTCATGTAAAGTAAGGAAGTTGCTTCTCTGTGCTCAGTTTCCTCACTGGTGAAATCAGGAATAATCACTATACTTACATCTCATAAAGTTGTTTTGAAGATTAAATGAATTATGTAAAGCACTTAGAATAATGTCCACCACTTAATGAAAACTATTATCATTAACACTAAAATTGTGATGCACTTGACCTTGTCTTAAATTAACTACTCTTGTGTCATAATCCATAAAGATCACCAAGTCACTTTTATGACAGAGTAGGAAGAGAAGGATGCCTTAAAGAACAAAAACCTAAATATACATCAATAGAGGAATGATTAAACAGATTATGGTATATCCACCCAAGGGAGAACTATGCAGCACTTTTAAGGGGATGGGGTAGCACACGTTTTGCATTGGAAAGATCCCAAGAACCTAATCAAATCGAGTTTATTTGTTAAATTTTTCTGTGGAGGAGAAAGGAAGATTATTTTAAAGTATACAACCTGAATAAGGTAAAAAATAGTAACAATAATAGGCTAGAGCAGTAAAGTGGCAGGCAGGGAAAGACTGATATCAGAGTCCTGGTACATGGAAAAGTAAGAGGCATATATATATACAGAAGGCTTTAACAGGCAGGCAATTCTCTGACTTAATATAATGCCAGTGCAAGTAGCTAGAATCCTCTTACTAGGTCCTATCATAGTGACCCAAATATGACAGAGTAAAACTGCTCACAGGGTTTTCTAGACTGCGATATTTACAGAAGCAGATTGCCAGATCTTTTCTCTTATGGAGCCACTGGGTGGGTTTAAACTGCCAACCTTTCAGTTAGCAGCTGAGCATTTAACCACTGCACCACCAGGGCTACAAGAATGTAATAGCTCAATCCCACCTAAATTCCCCACATTCATAAAAATTAGACTTCTGGCTGGGTGGTGGTGGGAAGATCTATGGCTTAGGAGAGATTCTCCATTTAAAGTGGCAGCAAGCCCTATCAATTTCAGGTAACAAAGTTATCTCTTGTGCATATGTTTGCACAGCCTGCACTCTGGGAACCACCATCAATCTCTATTACTAGTCTATATGGCGTTTATTCCACTCTCAACTCCAGGATTAGGCACATGAAACCGCATGAGATAAAGTATCATATACTCATAACCATTGTAATTGGTTTAGAGATGGACAACTAACTCAAAGTTGATCTAAAGAGTCAAATCAAGGACTTCTGCAGGAGCTAGACAAATGAGGTAGTTTTTGTTCTCATTCCTAGAAGCCAACTATACAGATCACTTATGTCCAGAAATACGGGGGCCATTTTTATCATGTAAAGAAAGTCTGCCTGACATTTTATGAAGCCAATGCAGAAGAAAACAGGTAAGAACTGGAAATATTTCTGACACTTTGATATATGCATCAGCATTTAATAATTTAGCTGTCCTGAAACTACAACTAGCCTATATTTCTTAAATTTTCCAGTTAAACAAGCTAATAAATTCATCTTTATATTTTTAAAACAATTTTGAATTGGACGTATCACTCTGACTAAAAGAGTTCTAGATAATACTTCAAATGTTGTGATGTTTTCATAAATAACAAAATGAAAAACCAAAACAGCTGCCACAAATCCATTTGCCCAGAACATGTTGTTATCATTCTGGTAATCTTATTTAATTCTTACCCCTCTGAAAAAATATTAAATATATTTCTATGAAATAAATATTGAAAAGATACAACAGCATTCTCTACAGTATCACAATAAAAGTATTTAACAATCCTATCTGAACATTAACTAACTTGTAAATGTACTACCTATAAAAAAGGGGGAAAATGTTCTTACTGTTGACGTAACTGCCGGCAGCTCTCAATATGAGTTGATGTATTTTGATGCTGAATCCAATCCTATTGTAAAATGAGAAAAGTGCTGAAATTAGAATACTCCTCATGGTGACTAGTAAATTAGGCTTATTCGAAAGGCACAATAAATAACTCTTAAAAATTAAGCAGATATAAATAGCATTTGTCTAATCAACAAACTTCTCACAAAATTTAAAGTCCCCAAATAAATGTACGTAATACCATACCTAACTGATCCCATTTTAAAGTATTTTAGTATAAAAAAGTTTGAAAGATCACACCCAAGAATACTCATTTTGAAATGACATATACATTTAAACTTGAAAGAAAATAATAAGCATGAATCAGAAAAAAACTCATCCAAAACATAAAAGCAACACTCCAGGGAACTCAAAAATTCTACAGATAAATTGGCAGCTGTGAAATGGGACTTTCAAAACACAAGGCTCTTCTGCTGCATTGTAAATTTTGGTCAATGACATGAGACAAAGTATATGTGAACTGCTGTATGAAAAGTGAATTTACTCTGTAAATCTTCACCTAAATCCTAAAAAAAAAAAAAAAAACCCACAAGGCTCTTGATAACTTCTTTAAATTTCAAGCTAACAACATCTCAACAACAATGAAAATCCAAGCTCATAAGCCAGTAACACACCAACAGTATACTGGCAAGTGATAAGATTAGCAAAAATAGGAAAAACTGCTGATCCAATCTATTTTCCACCTTTAAGGGAAAGTAATACCATTTCAAAGAAACAATGGCCCTTACATAGAGCTTTACAACTAACAAAATGCTTTCTTACATATTACTTCATTAACAAATAAATCTGCCTTAAAATTACAATCTGTACCCATAAATAGTTCCTGGAAAATACATCTGATTTGGGGTGGGGTGGGGGGGGGGGGAGAAGCCAGCACAGGCAGTCCCCAGGTTACGTATGTCCGACTTGCATCTGGCTTACATATAACCTGTAGTTCTGAACCAACCCCCATGAAACTCATTATATTAAAAATTAAAGGTATAATGGTTCGTGATAACTAACGGGCATTACTTTGCGACGCACATCAAAACATTACTGAAATTATGTTAAAGATGTTTTTAGTGTATCTGGAAGTGTTTCGTTAATATTTTTTATGCATAGAAAGGTACACTATATACCTTATACTGAGACAAATATTTGACTGACATTAGACACGAACCATACTCCACTGTTCCAACTTATGTACAAACTCAACTTAAAGACAGATTTAGGAACAGAATTTGTTCATAATCCAGGGACTGCCTGCCCAGTGTTCAAAGATAAAGTCCCCAAAATGAAACAATCAGTTGAAAGCAATGTGTATATTATTCAATGTATTTTGTTCTTTCAGCATCTTAACAGGCAGAAAAGTTACTATATATTCCTACATTTTAAAACTTTTGAGAATGTTATTCATGTCAACTTTAAAAAATAAAAAAAAATATTTAGTTTATATCACTGCTAAAGATGAACTAGCAGTTTCCCCCAGTTTACGCTACAGTTGACATTAATTTTGCATTCTTTCTTAGCAAGAACTATCTGAAAATAGGTGCCTACTACTTGGTAATGTTCAGCAACAAATTATACTCAGCAACATGTTAAGTAGAAACCCCAAACTATTCCATTAAGTCATGAAACTACCTATGGACTACAAAAAAGAAATGCTTGCATATCCTGTTCAGTGATAAAAATAGAAAGACAGGGATTGGCAGTTAAGATTCCCTACTAGTGCTAAACCCACGTCTTCATAATTATTTGGACATTTTTATATTTAAACAGACACGATGGCAGGCAGCAAGTTGGGATTTATTTGGACCATAAAATGTTTTATTTGAACAAATTGCCAACACTTAAAAAATACAGAAATCTTACCCTCAAATCCAAATTTCCAGCTTTTCTTGAAAAAAATGAAAATACAATAGTAGACATGTATTATTCTGTATAGCATCTAACAGCTGAAGCTAGTATCTGCTTTATTTTAGGCATACTGCTTTCCAGTTCAACACAAATGTATACACATCCACTCCCTATTGTCTTAAAAGGCCCACTTCATTCAATTACTTACTTGCTTTGACTCAGTAAACATGTCTACACCAGCTCAATTTCTCTATAGTAACAGCCTCCAGATTAGATAAGGATCTAAAAGTAGCACGGTCTATTCAAAGAAAAAGTGCTAATTACCTCCTAAACTGGAGTTGTTACAAGAGCTGTAGATTTGAGTGGGCCCAGGATGAAGTGTGAAAATTCCTACAACCTGTATCAAGAGCTCCAACTACCTCAAAAACCTTTTAGGTCGGTGTTTTCTCAAACTGAATTATTTCTAACAGTTAGAAAAATATAGTTTCCAAGGACCAGTTATATGAGCATTTATTTCCTCCTCCTCCTCTGAAGTCTGAACCCCAGTTTAGAAAAGATATTTACTTCACTTTCTACTGCTGCATTCTCAAAGTGCAACTTCGGGCTATATAGTTTTAAAGATTGGGAGGTAGGGTACATAGATTTGTCAAATGTTACTTAGCAGGAAAGTATTTTCAATTGTTAATTTATGTGTTTATTGACTACGTATTTATAATGCCATATATATGCACTCTTACAAGGCAGCAAAAATGTATCACAGAAACAGGACAGGTCATTTGTACCATCAAAGTCTATGTTTATAAATCCCTATGACCTGACCATCCAATGATGAAGAATTCATTACTTAGGTCATCCACTTGAGTTGTGTTGTTTAGAGGATTAAAAGGTACTTTTTGTTTGTTTTTAATGGTAATCTTGATGAGCTTTAAAAGAGTCTGGGTAGTGCAATGGTGCAATGGTTAAGTGCTCGGCTGCAAACCCAAAGGTTGGCTGTTCACAGCCACTCAGCAGCTTTGCAGGAGACAGTCCTGGTGATTTGCTTCCATAAAATACCTGATAGGGCAGTTCCACCGTGTGATGCTGGAATCATTATGAGCAGGAATTGACTCCACTGCACCCAACAATGAGCTCTTATGATCACTAAATGATTTCTTTTCCTCAAATTTTTATTGTTACCATATACAACAGCTTTCACCATCTTACATTTGAATAATTAGAGAAGCCTCTTAATTAGGCATTCCCCCCACCTCTTCTCATTTCTATTCACTCTGCATATTTAAGCCAGATTTATCTCCCTAAAATCTACTTTACAACATGTCCTTTCACATGTCCAGAATCTTAATTAGCTTCCTAATGCCTCTCACCTCAAGTCTAAATTCCTCAGGCTAGTTTTTCAAGGTCTTCATAATTATTTCTAATATGCTCACCATTCTATTCCTACCACAATGCAATGTAGTAATTTCTCAAAACTTCTGACACTGTGCACAATGTTGCTCCTATCTAAAATGTCACCTCTTTTCCCCTAGGCATATCTAAAGACTACTCATCATTCAAGGCCTATCTTCAACCTATTCCATAGTCTTCCGTCCCAAATTACTGTAGTCCAGAAAGACTTAGTACACTTAGTCACTGTCACTTAGTTTTATCTGCCGAGCCCACAAAAGCCCTTTGAAGCCAGGAAGCATTAGTTATACTTCTTTTCAATCATATACTCTTAAATATATAGTAAATGTTAATAAATTACTAATGCTGGCTTAAAATGCAATAAACCTGAAATCAAGACAGCACCTAACAACAACAACCCCTCCACAGCATACTCACACAAGTGGAATATAATCACTGACCATTTTGTTGCCCTCTAATGCTTTTTATCTCTTTAGATGTATAACGTCCCCCCTCAATGAGACTGTATAAAGTGCTAAAGTTCATATAGCTCTTCATTTCTGCCCAAATTCCAAATTCACAGCCATCAATTCCAACTCATAGCGACTCCCACTGGGTTTCCAATGCTGTAGATCTTCACAGAAGCAAACTGCCCCATCTTCTGTGGAATGGCTGGTGGGTTCCAACTAGTGACCTCTTTTTTTTGTTTGTTTGTTAGCAGCCAAAATGCCTTAACCACTATACCCCTGGAGCTCTGGTAGCATAGTGGTTAAGGCATTTGACTGCTAACTAGAGGTCACAGTTCAAAGCTACCAGTTGCTCCATGGGAAGATGAGGCTGTCTACTTCTGTGAAGATTTACAGCCTTGGAAACCCAATGGGGGTCACTATGAATTGAAATCGACTCCATGGCAATGAGTGGTAGTGGTAGTGGTGGTGATGGTTCATTTCTGCTTAGCAATGAATATAAACCAAACCCAATGCCATAAATTGTGACTCATCAAATGACCCTGTAAGACAGAGTAGAACTGTCCTATAGGGTTTCCAAGGTTGTAAATCCTTATGGAAGCAGAATACCACATCTTTCTCCCATAGAGCAGCTAGTGGGTTTGAACTGCCGACCTTCTGGTTAACAGTCAGGCACTAAACCACTGTACCACCAGCACTCCTATCATCTAATATCAAACAAAACAAAACAAAACATTAACTGCCGTCAAGTCAAATCCGACTCAAAGCGACCTCTCCTTGGGTTTCCAAGGTGGTATCACTACAGAAGTAGATTGCCTGATCTTCCTTCTGAAAAGTGGCTGGTGGGTTTGAACCGCCAGCCTTCTGGCCAGCAGTCAAATAAATGCCTTAGGCACTATGCCACCAGAGCTCCCATCATCTAATAATCGTGTACAAAACTGGTGATTCATTAAATATTTACTGAATAAATTATTTCTTTTCTACTCTACAGACTAAAGTTAAAACTTCAAATTATGTATTCTAGTATCCACCATGACTAATTAAAAGTTCAAAATAATGGTCATATCACGTGGTGCACCCAATCAGAAAAATACAGACCCTTATACTCTACTCAGTACACCACAAGCCAGAGCTACTACAGATTACAATTGTTGTTGTTTGCCGTCGAGTCGGCCCCGACTCATAGCGACCCCTCCTTGGGTTTCCGAGGCAGTATCACTACGGAAGTAAGATTGCCCAACCTTCCTTCTGAGGAGTGGCTGGTGGGTTTGAACCGCCAGCCTTCTGGTTAGCAGTCAAGTGCCTTAGGCACTATGCTACCAGAGCTCCTAAGCGCTCTGAATTATTCTGAGATTTTTTAAGGTAAAGACTTTGCTATTCAAGGGGGTAAAACAACTACTACCTTACTAGAACTCAGCAAATCTGGCTAAAATGAGAATTACTGCTGTGTGCATTAATGAAAAGCAGCAAGGCTGCTTTCCCTGGCTAGAGTTAACCTTAAAACATCTGGCTGGCTGAAATCCTGTGGGTAGGTATAGAAATACAATGGAATAGCAGCAATGAAAGGAGAAAAACAGAAAAAGGATTACTACCTTACAAATTTGTGTGTCAAAGTACACAACCAATGCCATGGCCTTGAACCAAAGCTTGGTCCTTTGGGGAGTATAATCTCTCTTGACTCTCTATAATCTAATGTCAGGAAGTATATTTATACATTAATATATACATATTTATATATCAAACTATATAACCATGAAGGTACCTTAAATTTTATATATATATATATGTTTCTCTCAAAATTTCTATCCTTTTACACTTTATTCCTGTTTGCAAACAGTCCTCAAATAGTTCATTCACAATGACTCAAATTTTTCTGTGATTTGGCTATTTTAACAATCTCCTTCTCAAAAGATAAGTAAAATCACTAGTCTGTATAGTCAGAAAATATTTAAATCTACATTAACTGTCTTTAGCCCAAGATATATACATACATGCAAAGCTGCAATATATAGTCTCTTAAAAGTGTGCAGTACAAATGTGCTATATCACCATTTCATACTAACAGAAATATGTAATCCTCTTATTCAGATAAAGGTGATTTGGGTGACACCGTCAAATATGCAGCTTATGTTCTTTAAGTATTTCCTGCAATTCATCATAACTAATTAAAAGTTCAAAAAAAAAAAAAAGGGGGGGACACAAATTATGTGATGTGCCTAGTAACTGGAATTCAGAAAATCTAACACTCAATTCAGTACTCAGTCCAGGACTATTTATAGAATACAACTAAGTGTTGATGTTGAGATAAAAATTAACTTCTGTCATTTCCATAATGCCTACTTAACACCTGCAAACATATCAAAATTTAAAAGGAACTTAGGCGCTGAGTATCATTATACAGTGATCTTTAAAAACACTCACCTTCAAATGACTACATTCTACGTTACACAGAGAACACAAATGTGGAAATATTCTTGGAGACGCTGCATAATAGTCATTCATCATAGAAGGAGTTGGAAGTCTCTTCATCTTCTGAGCATCAGCATGTGAAAACTTTGGTAGCCATGATGCTTTCACAATCCCAAAGGGAGACTGAATGGGTTCGTCAGTCTCTGACTGATAATTCTTTTTACTTCCTTCTGATCCAACGTGTACATTAGGTGAGTTAATCACAGGTTCATGAGGGATCTGCTCTTGCTGGCTCACAGTTGAAATTAATTCAGAAGAAAAAGGTTGCTGATTCATAGATGGAGTAATCAGAGACTGACTTGTCTGGCTAACTGTTTGGCTAATGGGCTGGTTGGTGGATTTTACAGGTTCAAGGACTGACTGTCCTCCTGAAATGTGTAAGCCTGACATCTTGGTTCCACTCTCAACTGGGAAATAAGACTGATTATTGGAGGACTCATTGGGGAAGTCCATCTGTCTGAACACATCTTCAACAGGAAACATAGAATTACGTATCACATTTGAAGCAGGAACAGATGTGCTTTGCTGTGACCGGAATTCATTCTTGACCTCATCAGTTGGAATTTCAGGATCATAAATACGTACTTCAAGTGGATCTTCTGTGTAGCCATATTTGCTTGCGTGCCCATAATCAATCACATTTCTTGAAACTGCTTCACTACCAAGTGTTTCTTTATTTCTGCTCTGAGAAGGTAAATTAGGTAAACGACGCCCCATTTTTCGCATTCTTATATCCCTCAAAATTAATGGCATATTTTCAGGTGTTAGCTGTTCATCAGGATAGCGACTGAGTTCTTCCAAATCTTCATTAGATAATCCAAAACTTGCTAAAATACTTGAGGCACTCTCTTTTGTATAGCGACTTTGCACTTTAGGACTCTGCTCTGTAACCTGTCCTATAGAACTCTGTTTCACTCCTACTGATGCAGACATATGAGACTCATCATCCCACCGGCTACCATGAGGCTTCCCCTTCTTTTGTTGTGCTTCATGAAAATCCATTTTTTCTTTGGTCAATCTTGGATCAGTTCGATGTTGAGTTACCTGAACATTCATTCTCTGTGGTCCCACATTCTGGTAAGATTCATGGCCAGTAAATCTGTGTGGAATTCCACGGGCTCTTCCTGCTGAGTAAAATCTTGGAAGACCCATAGATCCAGGTCTCATAAATGGTCCTGGAGGCCTCATTCCAGAAGGGTTTGGTGCTCGTGGCCTCTGAAGTGGAAAGTTTCCTCGAGGATTAAACCTGGGTCTCGACATGGCTATTTTCAAGAAAGCCTGATTTAATAAAGTATAAGGTGGTGTTGAACCATGTGAGCCAACGGCATTCAGCTGCTGAAGCGCCAACTGAGTCTTAATCTGAGCAAAGTGCAAAGGAGATGGGCCCAACAGAAGTGGGTTTGCAATGCCCAGGTTCAAGGAATTCACAAGTGGTGCGAAATTTTCCAAGAATAACACAAAGCTGAAAGTTAAAACACAAATATTAGATCATTTTAACTCAAACTACTTCATGAAGTGGGTTCTACAGGCAGGGCAAAACATTTTGAAATAAAGCCATGAAAACCATTCTGCATTTCATATATTTTAGAGTAAGGGCTTATGAGGATTTAAAACTGTCCCCAAATTTTTCTTCTTTTCTTTCCTGATTCCAGAACACAAACCTCAAACCTCAAGCCAGAGTTCATTCATGTATGTCGTGGTGCACTGGATGCTGTCCTAGGTGCTGAGCTGAAAATACAATTGTTTTAAATAATGTTGCAAAAAAACAGGGATTTCTTTCATACTTTAATACTGAGAGAGAAGATGAAAACATCAGAAATGAATACACATGTAATATGCATGTCATCAGACCTGCAAATAATGAAAACAGGAACTGTAAACCTAACGCTTTAGACACATTCTTCCTTAAAAATCAGCCTTCGCATCTAATAAATTTCACATGGCAATTAAACTATTCTTAAGTTTCTGATATTAAACAGTTGTTTCTCTTAAGATTAAAAACACATTGTCAATAACTCAACTATACAATCTGACAAAGCAGTATATAGTAACAGAAATAGTTTTTAACATACAACATAATACATAACACAACTAATCACCCTGTTCTTAGACTCTCTCCATAGTGAGAGAACAGACAAGTACATAGGATAGTAACAATTGTTAACTTTGTTGTCCATTTGCCAAGCACTAGTTACATAAACTGAATCATTCATTTAATTCTCACAACCCCATAATTTATTAAGTTTTACAGAGGAAAACTCTAAGGCACAGACAGCTTGAGTAACTCTTCTAAGGTTATACAGTTAGTAAGTGGCTGGGTCAGGATTTGCATTCAAGGTAATTTGGCAATGCTTTTTAACCACTAATAGATGTAAGACTATCTTGTATTTCCCCAATACTGTAACAGTTAAAACTGGTTGTTGCCCTACCTATCACAATGCAGCACTACCCACTCCAACTTTCTTCCCTCCTACAGTAATACTTTATCATTCAGAATAAAGGTCAGGAGCCACATTACTTGCCTAGATGCTCCCAGTTTAATGAGAGGAAAAAAAAAAAGAAAAAAAAAAAGATTATGGCTATAGTTCTTATCAAGGAGCTTTGGTGGTACAGTAGTTAAAGTGCTCAGCTGCTTAACCAAAAGGTCGGCAGTTCAAACCCACCAGCTGTTCTGCAGGAGAAAGATATGGCAATTTGCTTCCATAAAGTCCCTGTCCTATAGGGTCACTATGAGTCAGAATCAACTTGGAGGTAACAGGTTTTAGCTATACTTCCTATCAGGTCCCTACTTTCATACTTGATAGGGATGTAGGGTGGGAAATGTGAGATCCTGAGATATCTATGCCTCAAAATGGATATTATTTGATGATCATAACTTTCCAGTCCAAGCTATAACTTCACCTATAACTCTACCATACACAGTGAAACCTATATAAACCACAACTTGTTGGGACTGCTTTGTTTTTCTAGGACTCCCGACTTCTCCACCTTTGATAGTGTACATTCTTACCACTTTTCCACTGTCCATTTTAGGGGAAAATATTTGAGTTTTCCTTCTCTGACAGCTTTCCACCTTACACAAGCTCTGTCTTTCAGAGCTTTTATTGTACTTTTTCCCTTTACTTATATGGAAGTAAATGTTAATTTGGCTAAGAAATGGGTTGGTTAACATTAGCCCTTTGAACCATTTTACATGCTACCACTAGATTTAATCTTCGCAAAAGAACATTTTTACCTCATCACTTTTCTGTTTAAAAATCTAGAGAGTATTTTATTTTACTTATCTTTAAGATCCAATCAAATCTAGTCAATCTCTATCTTTCCAATTTTCGATTAATTTTAACTATTAATTTCCAAGCACATAATCCTATTCTTACTCAAAAGACTCTCAAATATTTAAGCTATTTGAATGAACAGATCAAAGTCTTCACTATTCTCCTACACAGATTATTTTCAAGTTAGAGAAACACAGCACTAAAAATCACACAGGAATAGCTACAATCTTACTGTACCAAAACCAAACACCAAAGTCACTGCCATCGAGTCAATCCCAATTCATAATGACTCCCCTTTGGGTTTCTAGGCAGTAAATCTTTATGGAAGTAGATTGCCCAGTCTTCTGTCTGTGGAGTGGCTCATGAGTTTGAACCACCACCTTCTGGTTAGCAGTCAAGTGCCTTAGGCACTACAGAACCAGAGCTTCTTATCTTACTGTACAGTGATACTAAATTACCTGTAAATAACATTCATTTGTAAACAATCATAACTCCTATGAAACTGTGCATACCTTCCACATAATAAAAATACTTCCAAGAACAACTTTTTCTTTATCTAATCTTTAAACAAAAACAATCCTCTCTTAACCAAGCAGTTTGTGAGTTACTCAGTATCCTTTTGTACCATTTTCCCCATTTGGTGAAGACTGCTCTCCCAACTTCAGGTGCACAAGCTAACCCAAACACCGTATTTATTCCCCATAATAAACAGAAAAAGTACAGATTTCAGAGTCTTCTAATTACTTGATACAATCATGAACAAGTATCAGTTGGAAGTTGTCTACATTTTAAATTCCTTAAAGACAAAAACCTATCTATGTACTTCCTAATGTACCTAGCACCACAGAGCAGTTTTTCATAAACCATATCCTGCAGAATACTAGTTTCTGTCCTGTGAGATTTTAAGTCTTCCGCCAGAGTTTCAAGACCAAGAAAGTTTGGAAAACACTGCACATGCTGCCATTCTTAGAGGTACACAATACCCATTAGCAGATTAAAGGCCCCCAAGAAGTCCTGCTGTTTATCAAAAATCTTTTGTCATCTTGCATGTCCCAAAGCTGAGTTTTCCTTTATGCTTATCTCCAGGGGTGGTATTGGTAAAGCACAAACAATGACCAATCAGAACAGTAACCTTATAGTGTGGAAGCAGGGTCCTGAGCTCCTCTCCCCCCGCCCCCCGCCCATGCCCTCATTTTTTCTGTTGCTAGATCATAGGAAGATAATTGTGGGGTAGTACTGAGGAAACAGCTGGTGGGGGGGGGGGGAGGCGAGAAAAGGTACACCCTTGGTGCAGCCCTATTTATTAATCAGGGCAGAATATTTCCATATTTTAACAACCGTCATAGCTGTATCATCCCTGGTAGTGCAGTGGTTAAAGATCTCAGCTGCCAACTGAAAGGTCAGCAGTTTGAACCCACCAGCCACTAGAGAAAGATGTGGTAGTCTACTTCTGTAAAGATTAAAGCCGTTTTGGAAATCCTATGGGACAATTCTATTCTGTATCGTCAATGGTTAAAAAAAAATCATTTTAAACGATTTGTTTTCTTTGTAAATGAAATTTAAGGAGCATCTCCATATTTTATTTGAATAATTTTTGTTTTTATTTTAAAAATATAAGCACATTTTCAATCATTTAGGAAAAGTTACTATTTGTTTACTCTTCTCTTTTAGAGTTTTCATATTCATTCCAAATAAAATGCTTCGATTAAAAGAATGCTTGTATTCATACTTCAAAGCTTTCTATTTATTAGGTGTTACAATTTTCTATTTTGCGATCAGAAAATTCTGAAACCTAATTTCTTCAAATTTGACTTAAGGGCAGGCAAGCCCCACCAACGGTATCTTTCTCTCCTTTGCCTTAACCTTTCTCTTATTTAAACTTCAACCCTATCAGTAATGCCCCCATAGAAAATCTACTTAAGGAAAATGCTAATGCCTAATTTTTTATTTATGTCCTTCTCAATCAATTTATGGGAATAAAACTCCAAAATCAACTATCAGTTTTTTCAGAATATCTAAAAAATCACCAGGTAATTCTAAAAAAGTTTAGAGACACTGTCTCCTTAGAAATAAGTACCTCAAAAAAGGAACTTCAAATCCAGCTTTTATTGATCCATTTCTTCTTGTTAGCCACTGTAGAGTATTCCTAATTCATGGCAAACTCACACACAACAAAATTAAACACTGCCTAGTCCTGCACCATCCCCATGATGGGCTACAAATCAGACTGTTGTGATCCATAGGGCTTTCACTGGCTTCTTTTCAGAAGTACATCACCTGGCTATTTTTCTAGTATCTCTCTTAAGTCTGGAAGCTCCACTGAAACTTATTAAGCATCACAGCCACACAGAAGCTTCCATTGACAGACAAGTACATACGTGGTGGCTGTACATGATATACATTGGTGAGGAACTGGGCCCTGGCCTCCATTTGGCATGGAAGGTGAGAATTAACCCTGTCCCCATACTCATCCATTTAATAAATGCTTAAGGACAACACTTTTCTAGGTGGGAAAGTACCATGTTTATTTAGAAACAATAGATTCCTTCCTTCACAGAGTTAACATTTCAGTTTTTAAGGTGCATTTATTATCTCCTAAAGAATTACAGAAAACAAAATAAAATATAGTTAGCCATCTCCTGGAAATTTCCCTTTACATGCCTCTGCAAATAACAGGGTATGCAGAGACTGGAAATTGGCTAATAAACTATGATATATCCATGTTTTTGCAGCTGGAAAAATGAGACTACTACTATTAAACAACCCTGGTAGAATATACCCTAAGGACAAGAATGTGTGGGGGAATAACCTTAAATTGATTTCAGTATTATTAGTAGCATGAGACTGCTACAGGTGAATTGTGCGTTAAAGTAGATGCATAATTATATTGAAATTTCTTCATGGGAACAAGGAGATACTGATTTTAAACTCATTAAGGTAACACTCCTATGCAATCTGACCTTAAACTAAAAGTATCAGTATGGACTCATAATAATGAGTCAATAATAATAATAATAATAATAATAAATGTAATAATTTATTATTACATGTGAAAAGAACTAGAAAATAGTAAGGCAGTGCCTTACTATTGGGACTGTTGTTGTTGTTACGTGCCGTCAAGTCGGACTCGACTCATAGCGACCCCTCCTTGGGTTTCCGAGGTATTATCACTACGGAGGTAGATTGC